TTTTAGATAATTAAATGGGGGTCAGAAGACATCTGAACCACCCTGTACAATTTTTAAAGTCCCTCTAATGATTTAGCCACTGCTGAATGAGTTAACCTCTGACACGTGTGCCGTAAAGAAGGGCCATTGCCCGAAACGTTGCCGATTATATTTGTTTTAATTGGCAAAATGTGAGATTTTTGTTATCTATGTCTCAAAAAAACCTCCAGGGTACTTTGCGACAAGGTATAAAGCTGAAATGTGGTGTTTATGTAGCTTTTAGGACACAAACAACAGGAACATCTGAAAATCCGAGATTTTTCATTTTAAGGCTCCCCCGAATCTCGATAATAAGTGCCCCATAAACATGTTTGTGTGTGTCATTCAGACACCGTTCAAAATATGATCGTGTTTTTTTGTTTGTTTGCTAGAGCGTTAAACATCAAATAAAAAAAAGCGAAAACCATTCTATCTTTTTTTTAGATATTCGGATTCAAGCGGTTTTGAACGAAAAAATACGCATTTTATGTTCAAATCTGAATAGTTAGCAAACGGTAAAATATAGGACCTTCTCCTCATAGAGTATTAAGTTCATTAATTTGTGTTCTTTCTAATTAAACAAGGGAATATTGAAATTGAGCAGTTTATGAATCATGTAAGCTATTTTTGTGTTTTTTGTGTGGAAAAATACACGGTTTTGGAGTAGTGTCTGATCGTCGATACAAATTGTAAGGAAAATCATATCAGGTTATTATATTTATTGAAAACTCTTGCTTGGTGAAGACAGGCTTTATGAACTAGTTTGTGATAAAGGGCGAATAGGTGTAATATTTCACGTCAGTTTCGTTATTACGATTCATATTCTTTGTGTGTGTGTAACCCTTTAAAATGTCTCGTTCTGGGGAAAATCCAGAGCTTCGGTTTTGGAAAACTTTAAGTTCATGAAAAACAGTACGGCAATGTGCCTCAACAAGGGTCGAATCGATGCGCATTTCCTCGTACGATACGGACCAGAGAAACACGGTCAACTCGTAGACAAAGGGGAACATTCTGACAAGGGCATGAGTAATATAAAACAACTTTTTTTAAACACGCTTTTAAGAAATGTACTAGTAATGGCAGAACTCCACGACTCAAGGAAATGGCCCCGAAGCTTGCCATAACGTAAGGGACCGTGGCCAATTAGATCCAAGCCGAAACATAACATGTAAAAAAATGTTTAAAAATATATATTTTTTATTTTTTTATGATAGAATATAGTATTGTCATCAGTATGACATAAGTATACCAAGTTCGCAGTCGATGCCACATTGGGAAGTGGGTAAAAATTGAGTTGCAAGATGTGAGGATACAACAACAGAGTGAGTTAATAAAAGCGTGTTATGATAAAGAAGCATTGCAGGGGACTGATGTGAGGCGTTTTTTTAGCACTTGGGGTGTGGTGTTTCTGCCATCTGTCAAACAATGGCACCTGTGACCTATCAGCTACTTGACGTTTTCAATGTCACTGCCACCTCTTGGCCAACGGTGGTTGTTGTGTCCTCATTGAGTCAATAGTATTCATGATGTTGTTAAACACATTCTTGCGGAGGGAGCTGGTAGGAACGTTGGGTTGCTCGGTCAATGGCCAGGGTCAACGGCGGCGTGGTGTATTCCGCAAATATCCCCGACTCTGAGGGCGGTCACAAGCCGGCGTGAGTAGGTTAAACGTTGAGTTTTATAAGGGCACCACGGGGTGACCAGCCCCTCCCCACCCAGCCCCACCCCTCCCACCCCCCACCCAGCCCCTCCCCACCCAGCCCTTCCCTGCACGACGGACACAATAATCCCCTGTGGGCTGGTGTAACCAGGAGGTTCCTACCAGTAACAGGACCCTGCGGGGTGGGCTGGTAGGAATAATACTTAGTACCGGTACAGGGATATCGACCGGGTATAGAGGAGTTAAAGAAAAAATTACTGTATTCTAGTGTAACGTTAATTAAAAGTTTGTTTTGACAAGAAACGCTGTGAGATTTAAAGACCCCCCAACACTACCCTCAACACCACCCCTCCCACCAGCCCTCACCACCCCCCACCACCACCATCCCCCACCACCACCTTCTGCACTAGGCCTCGCGCCGTGCTTTTCGTGCACAAATAAGGCGATTAAATGTATCTCGTCTCTGTGTTAATAAATGTTTCTTGTCTCTGTGTTAAAAAAAACGTGCTGCGTTTCAGTAAAGTAATTTTTTTTTAAATAAAGTGCTGCGTTTCATCTCTTGTGTTAATAAGCCTGCCGCACTAGGCCTCGCGCCGTGCTTTTCGTGCACAAATAAGGCGATTAAATGTATCTCGTCTCTGTGTTAATAAATGTTTCTTGTCTCTGTGTTAAAAAAAACGTGCTGCGTTTCAGTAAAGTAATTTTTTTTTAAATAAAGTGCTGCGTTTCATCTCTGTGTTAATAAGCCTGCCGCACTAGGCCTCGCGAAGCCTGCCGCACTAGGTCTCGCGCCGTGCTTTTCGTGCACAAATAAGGCGATTAAATGTATGTCGTCTCTGTGTTAATGTTTCTTGTCTCTGTCTTAAAAAAAACGTGCTGCGTTTCAGTAAAGTAATTTTGAAGCGAAGTTTAAAGTTTTGCCGTGATGCGCCGGAAGCGACGGCCATCTTGTTTAATTCACAGATCGCAGGGGGAGCGGGCGGCCATCTTGTCGGACAGGGTCATGCCAAGTGTTTGCAGTAGGGGGTGATGTTGATACACGGACGGACGGACGGACGGACAGTCGGACGGACGGACACATTAATCTATTGGTGGTCTGGTCCACTTCGTTCCTATCAGTATGAATTAATTCTATCGGCTGCGAATGCTGCTGATGAGGGTCATATGATGATGCTACTGCTAATGATGCTGCTACTGCTTGCTGACGCCCATTACGCTCCTACTGATGACGCTGACGCCAACGATACTGTTTGCTGATGATGATGTTAATGATCATGCTCATGATGTTGCTGCTGATGATGATGTTAATGATCATGCTCATGATGTTGCTGCTGATGATGTTACTGATCATGCTCATGATGTTGCTGCTGATGTTAATGATCATGCTCATGATGTTGCTGCTGATGATGTTAGTGATCATGATGATGATGTTTTCTGCTGATGCTGTTAGTGATCATGCTGATGTTGCTGCTGATGCTGATCATGCTGATGATGTTGCTGCTGATGATGTTGATGATCATGCTGATGTTGCTGCTGATGCTGATGATGTTGCTGCTGATGATGTTGATGATCATGTTGATGATGTTGCTGCTGATGCTGTTGATGATCATGCTGATGATGCTGCTGATGATGTTAATGATCATGCTGATGATGTTGCTGCTGATGATGTTGATGATCATGCTCATGATGTTTGCTGCTGATGCTGTTGATGATCATGCTAATGATGTTGATGATCATGCTGATGATGTTGCTGCTGATGATCATGCTGATGATGTTGCTGCTGATGCTGTTGATGATCATGCTCATGATCTTGCTGCTGATGTTGATGATCATGCTCATGATGTTGCTGCTGCTGATGATGATGATGCTGCTGCTGATGATGTTAATGATCATGCTGATGATGATGCTGCTGATGATGTTGATGATGATAATGCTGTTCAAGTTCAAGTTCATTTATTAGGTATAGCCCTGTGAGCCATTCAGCTCTTGAATCGGGTGCAACCGCAACAAACAAAAAACAAAAACATGAACAAAAAAAACATCTTAAAGTGAATATGTGACTAAGTGCAAAGAGAAAATCCAAGAAAAGACAGCAAAAATATTGCAGAAAAAACACCGTACACCAACGCTGTGTGCAAAAATCCCAGTGGGATGCAAGTCAAACAACAACAACAACCACAAGACAACTTAGATTAAGGCCATCAGTCTAACTCTGTACTACAACAACACAAACATGGCTAAACCAATACACTTTTCGAAATCACCAAAATAAAGCCATGAAGGCAATGAAAAAGCAATCATAGGAACTGACGGAATTTTAACAATAAATGGCATAAACAACATGTACTACCAAAACCCTGCAGCCATAGCTGGCTGCATGAGTCACTCCACAACAGCAGGAGCATCAATCGGAGTATTGTAATTTTTCAATGCACCTTTAAGATCAGCACACTAAATCAAAACACAGGTCATACTTTGTAGCGATCATCCGGAGCGAAACATTTTATTTTAGGTCACTGAATAGCACTGGCAGCTAGGGGTGTACAACTCCTCTAAAGCAGTTTTGAGTGAAGATCTCATAGGTAGTGACTCAAGTTTCAATTTATTTGCAACAGCATTCCAGACCCTGGGGGCATCAATAGCAAAGGCCCTTCCTCCAGTATATGTACGGCAATAGGGAATATTAAGCTGGTAAATGAGTGTAGACCTTAGGTCAAATTTGACAATGATATTGCTGATTTAAAGCTTTCGTGACTGCAGGGATTCATATTCTTGGTTCTTTCAGTAAAGTCACGTAAAAGGGAAATAATAAAATAATAATAAATATAAAACAATAAAATTATCACGACGTTTCGACTGCACCACAAGCAATCATCATCAGGCGTGAAATCCACAGCAAGAAAATGTGTGGATTTCACACCTGATGACGATTGCGTGTGTTGCAGTCGAAACGTCGTGATAATTTTGTTGTTTTATATTTTTGTTATTTTATTATTTCCCTTCTACGTGACCTTACCGAAAGAACCAAGAACACGATGCTATTGCTGCTGACAAACATGCTATTGTTGGCGTTGCCGTGACGCGATTTCCCGTAAATCGCGTCACGGCGTGACGCGATTTCCCGTAAATTGCGTCACGGCGTGACGCGCCAGTCTCGCGGGGCGGGGCGGGGACTCTCGTGATTGGTTGAGGCCGGCGGCGGTTGGCGGCTCGACCAATAGCAACACGCGGCACGTTTGAGTGACGTACGCCCCGCCCTCCCAGTAACCCCGCCCCCTCAGTGACCCCGCCCCCTCAGTAACCACGAGTGGGTTGACCGAGCGAGTTGCTGATCAGACGTGGGAAGTCGTCTTTGTTGCTTCTTGTGTAGCTGCAACTCTGTGTCTGGATTTAAAGCTTTCGTGACTTAACGAATCCATACTCTTTGGTTGTTTCGGTAAGGTCACGCAGTTAGAAAACTAAGCCAAAGCAGAAAATATTATATCACGACGTGTCGATCGCTTGTGTGGCGATCGGACCGTGATATTTTATTTTTGTTTTGTTTTAGTTTCCTACTTGCGTTTCTTTACCGAAATAACCAAAGGGTGAGGTGATCGAGCGAATTTTCTCGCCGTTCTTTTGAATCTCTTCCGTCGATCGGGCCTCTTTTGCGAGGTCTTATAGTTTTTGCTCGGTGTTTTGTTTTGTTGAGGAAAGCAACAGCAGTATTGTAGTTTGAAAAATACGCCTGCGCCGAAATGACAACCGACACCCTGACCGAGTTATCCAAGAACTTGCGTAACCCCCAGAACGGGTAAGAAGGTGGCTTCTTTGTTCGTGGGTTTCCTTTTGTTCGCTTTACCACGGCGTCCACTTTAAACGGGACGACGACGACGACAAACTCGTGGTATTTGCTCTCTAAAATGGTGACCGCGTCTCTGTTGTTACAACCCCCACCCCCCTTTTGCGTCGTTCTTGGGTGTCATCGTTAGGGGATGGTGAGGGCCGCCACCACGATGTGGCTTTTTGAGAGAGACGGCAACTCACTCGCCTTGCTACAACACAGTCGTAGTTTATATCCAGACCTTTGACGCCTGCTGTACGTTTAAATAATCTGCGTGTTCTTTTGTGTCTCTCGTCTCTGTCCCCGTCGGGTTTTTCTCCAATTTCGCTTCCGCATTTAGAATCGAGACACGCACGCGGTGGGTTTTTTTAAATTAAAAAATAATTATTTGGCTGCTATACATGATAATGAAAAGCCTTTTTGCGAGTTGAAGCTATCGTTTTGTGATGGCCAGGTCTGCTTCTGAAGAAAAAAAGCAAAGGGACAGCGCTGGTAAAGTGAAATAATAGAAAAGTATTGACAGATGTGGAGGAAAAACTAATTAATTGGCAGCTTTGCCACCTCAAACGCATTCCCCGTGAGACGTTCACACGGCTCGCGTAGTTCGTGTGTATTGACAAAGCAAGTCAATGTGTAATATATATTTAGTTTAATATACAATCCCTTACATGGCGTGAGAACGTGGCGAATTGTGACATCGTGGCGCAAAGATGGATGACGGGCGGGGTCGTTTGTGGGCCCTCTTCGCCAGCGCCTCTGCGTGGCGGAGACTGCGAAGTGAGGCGACATTGGAACTTCCTCACTCATCGCTTTCACATTGGGTCATAGGGCCCCACGGGCTCCGATCCACTGCTGGCTTGAGACGTCTTCCTGGCAACATCGCCCCCCCCCCTTTAACGCCGTTGTGCGCTGTGGCATCCGAAATCTCGCGTCCGCACGCGAAATTGGTCCCAGTTGGGCGCTCCATCTCCGCGGGGCATGTTCCGTTCCGGTTTGGTGGACGGTGATCTAAGAATGGCTTTTGAGGGAGAGGAGAGGGATCAATGGATGGGGGAACGTGTGTCCTAGAGGACGTGGCAACGGAGATGGAGCGATATAAGTATAACCCGTAAAAACAACGTTGTTCACTCTAAATCCTTTATATGCGTGGAGGCTAGAGTCCTCTCGTCCTCTGGCTTGAGATGGCTGCCACCTATGGGTCAGATGATTGTCTGCAGTATTAAGCAATTGGTAATTAAATATTTATTTATTTTTCCCTAAAGAGTGTAAAATTTTGGAAAAAATTTTTCACGAACATTAATTGTCTCACACAACGAGTCTGTGTGCAAAATGTCAGCTCGATTGGATCACGGGAAGTGGGTTAAAAAACGACCGAAAGGTTTTCACGGTCGCAAGCAAGCACGCAAGCAAGCAAGCGAGCTTAATATAAAGGATTTAAAAATCGGCTCGCGTACGGGCGCCCGGGTGTTTTTTGGTAGGTGTCGTGATGGGTGGCGACAGCTTTCAGTGATGTGACCTTAGGCCAGCGGTTGATTAGACGTCACTGATTGGTGATGGGAATCAACTCGCTTGTTACAGGAGCCAGGTGCGTGACTGGCATACATATGGACTTTGGTACAACCCTTAGGGGTTTTATTTGTTATCAAGTCGCTTACAGAAGCACGGCTTGATAATGAAATGCCTACATATTGGATACTATTTACGGGATGAACAAGAGAAAACCTTAAAAAAAGCCGTCATGGGTATTTTCAGTTTTAATTACGTGTTATTTTCCTACCCTATGGGTTAAAGCCATGTCGAGCACGCAGTGTTGGGTTATCTTAAAACTCCATACAACACGGCAATGATACAATTGGGGGTTTTTTGTACAAGTTTCTCGGAAATGTCATGGCCGTGAATGTACAGAATCCAATACGTGTGTGAGTCATGGAAGCCACAGTGGATTAGACATGAACCGAAAGTTCCCCTTGAATGTTCCATTGTATTAATAAAGCCACGGCTCTGTGTCCATTGTGCAATGCGTGTTTCTCACCCATAGGCGCTTCAAACTCAGTCGTGTTAGCGAGAGACGACACTTCACTTGCGTGTACATATGGCACTTAAATTGTTTTTTTAGACTCGTGGGTTCATTGAACTCGTTGACAATCTCAAATATCTGGACGTTATCCTCGGCTCCAAAATAAATGTTCCATGCTCGCAAAAGAACAATTTTAAGGGGAAAAAATTGGTCTATTGTATATATTCATTAATTGTATTTCCCTCTGTCTCACGAGTGGATATTGACCCTCCACGTTTCGAAACGTGCGTGTGAGAGTATTTGGTTGCCTTACATTTCCACATGATGATAAGCCACTTTATTGAGCTATCATTTGTGACAGCTATATAGCAGCTCAGTGGGACTTACCTGGTTAAAATAAAAAATAGTTTAATTAACAACACACCACTGTGATCTTTAAACGTAAACCTGACTCCTCTTGGTACTCGGCAAATTGCGTAATTGATCATCGTTCAACCTCAAACTACCAAAACAAATCGAACATTTTCGTCTTTCGGCGCAGTCCCCACATCACGTTGCCCAAGAAGCTCCTTGCCAGTTCCGCTTTAACATACCCAGAGTGATATTTAGCCACAGTGAACCATTTCGTTTTGGAACGACCTCGCTTTCATGGTTTTCGGTATAACATATCTCCCTTTCCTGGCTTTTTAAAATGTTTCCTTCATTTAAGATGTCCCTTGGGGTCGGTGAATCCACTGCGTTATGTAATGTGTTTCTGTGTTGCCTGCCAGTGTTACTTGAATGGTACATGGCTTGAATCCCCCCCCGAATGCGTTTCTACTCAGTGTCTGCAATGCTAAAGATGTATTCGCTACTGTTTCTTTTCACCAAGGCCCTCCACGGGATCAATCTTGCTGAGTGTTTCTTACCTGCGGAAACAAATTCAATACCTCTGACTAAAACATAAGAGGCACATGTGTGTTGTGTCTGTGGTCACATTTCTAAATACATTACACATGTCTCATTGAGCCCGAGTGACAAATGGAAGGGCCCATGGTATTGGATGGTCCACTGCTAGCTGTAGGGAGGTAATCCTGTACAAGAGAACTTAGTGTTTACTTAAATTATTAAAACGTTGGTAACGGCCACAGGAGATGGAATTTCTGAGTAATTTATTAATAATTGCTGTTTGCCATGAAGTCACAGGACAGGGTGGCTCATTGCCACACCCAACCGTAATGTTGAGTGATTCACCATTACATTACTCTGTGAAAATCTCAAATATTTGTTTTCATTTCCTTAAGCATTTTCGGTAACCCCCCTCCCTCCAAATGTTTACATTTGAACTACGGCTGCGTCATTTCCGCAAGATAGGTTTATTATCACCGTACTGTACAACTGGTGGCCTGTGGCCAAATCTGTCTGGCAAAGGCTGTGTGGTTAGACTGCCGAGTGCGCCGAGATATATATATGACATTGTGACAAATGGCTTAATAGCTAATCGGATTCCTCCAGTCTAAATAAATATTTTGATATATTTAGAAATGTTGGATGATTGGACAAGGGAAAGAAATGAGATAGAGCAGGCGACACGAGATAGAATAGTGACATGAAAAAGGAGTGGCACTGAGTCGTACATATTAGTGGTCACATCCGCATCATGCAATCACGCGACCGACCACAACGCCAATTTTATTGTGGCCCATCAGAAAAAATTGAACGAAACCTGCTGCACATCTCGTACAATGTGCGCGCCTTTCTGTCTTTCCTGATGTAGGAATAATTTGAACACATTCAAGAAAGATAAAAAGGTGAACGTGACCAACAAGAGCGAGGTCAAGAAGGACTTCATTGCTTTGAAGGATTCGAGAGACTTCAAGACGGAGCTGCGGAAGGTGGTGAAGAAACATAACAACAAGAAGCTCCTCCTAAAAAACTGTCCCGACTTCCCATTCACGGTGTGCGGCCAAGAGGGAACCAACTACAGGTGAACACAGCGTAGCGGTGTCTTGGTGTGCATGTCGAGGACCATCAGTGGGGCTGATGAGACTGCGTGAATGGACGCTCTTTGGCAGAATCGAATTCAAGTGTGGACTCTGGTGTACGAGGTGTCCACTAAACCCTTTGAAGTTTGCGGTTCGTGCAGATTGACGGTGTAAACATGTAAACATGCTTTGTAAAGGTTACCATTGGTGCAAAATGATGGTTGATGCCACACTCCTGCATGATGTACATGCAAAGGCCTCCATCAATCCACTGCTGGATGAGGGCCTCCCCACACTATAGATGTCGTGGACTTTATTTTATTATCATACTTTGCCACACTGGTTGGTGTAGGCTGGTTACAATGACTGCATAGAAAACGACCTTGTTGGTTCTTAGTGCTTTGAAAGATGCTAAAAAAACTTGGTTGTTAATGTCATCTCAATTCACTTGCTCATTCTTGCATCCCCGAATGGACACGGCATAAAAGAGCTGCTTGATGTGTTTCCTACGCAGGAATATCACTTCGATGATGGGCGCCTGGAACAGCCTGTTTCTGGAAAAGGAGCAGGACATGACGGTGATCGGCTGCTTGGACAACGTGCCATCGTTGGCATTGGGTCTGCAGTGGGTCGTGCTGGTGACGGAGGACGGTGCTGTGTACGGTTACGAGAATGAGTGCATGTGCAGGTTGGCGAGTAGTGTTTGGAACCTCTTCCTGGAGGGCCCTCGGTTCGGTGGGAAAATGTACAAGATGGACTTGAGTGACGTCCCACAGGTGAGAACCATGAGGCTGTCCTGTAGTTATTCTCTGGGCCAATGATTGATTTCTTGTTAACTTTGATCACTACACCATCAAAAGGTTGCTTTGAATTGTCAATTCCATAATCACATTTCCCCAATTTGTAAGTTAAAGGAGTCCTATGTTAACCTAATGGTTTAATACAACTATAATGTGTTTAAGCCAGGGTAATCTATTATGGAGGAAAAACAGGTTTTCCACCTTAATGATATAGCTTGTAAAAATGCTATTGTATTTGCAATGATTCACTGTTATTACAACTTGTATTTGAAGTGTTTTATGTAAATTTGTACTGTATACTCCGTTTTAACACAGGATTCTAAGGAGTTTGATAAAGCTTGCGAAGATATGGGCATTCAATCAAGAGATCCTGAGGTTGAGAAATACATGAAAAGTTTAGAAAGTAAATTTGATGAAATGGAAGATTTCTTTGCGTCATTGTGAATCTGATTGAAACGACATTCTATGCTTCTGACTGACTAACCATCAGAAGATAGAGACGACAAAGCCACCATTCAATACGCATAATTCCAGCCACCTCCAGATACAACTCGTGGAAACGTGTCGAAGTTAAAGCAAAGCCTGTCGACGTCGCTGCCTGTCAATACAAACATTGCAATGTCGGAAAGCTGCAACACGACCTTGCATGGAAGAGACACCTGCATTTCACCCTTTTATAATATTCTCTTTATTCAGGATTGCGTTCGTCGCGATGTGATGCACTTTTCCACACACAACATATCTGGCCATACTTTAAAGTCGGAGGAAAATGGGACGAAACTATCCATGGTCCACCTGTACAGTCTTTCATGTGGATAATTTAAGTTTTTGCTCACGTTTGCACATTCTCCAGCTTACTGGGCGTTCTTGTGGTGGTTGTAAAATATCTACTTAGCTCAATAGGCCTTACCATCTGGAATAAAGTCTGACTGATTGTCCTTAATATCTTTATATAGTTTTGAATATGCGATGCTCACATATGCGGTGCTCAACCAGAATTAATGCACCTGTGGAATAATGCCTGTTTTGTCACGCTAATTCTAGGGAGTATTTTTTTGGGGGGTTTTACTCCGTTCTGGTGTTTCTCTGACCCATTACGGCCAATTGCCTTGTTTGACCTGTGGGCTGGTGGCCAGGTGCGCACGAAGTGGCTCGTGTGCTCAACAAAAGAAAAATGGATTAGCATTGTGACTGCTCACAGCGCGGGGCCAGAGGGTGATGGGCAATGGGGGGGCCCATGCCCTTTGTTGGAGGAAATTGGTGAGTGGATATCACCCAAGGCAGGTGTTTACAGTGTTGATGGGCTGTCTTTTGTTACACTAACCAGAGGTAGACATTGAAGACCAGTGTCACCGTGGTATTTTAACAGGATGCCACGCGTGCTGTCGCGATCTAAACTTTCACAAAATCGAGCAATTGTCCGCATTATACTCCCGTTAGGGGAAAAAGAATCAATCGAATACTGACAGGTGCTTTGAGACTGGAGCTCTGTTAGAGGTAATTAAAGTAAAATTTCTACGTTGGCTTTTTGTGACCAATAGCATTCACAACTGGGTTTTTTGGGTTGAGTCGTGTGTAAAAAAAAAAATGTTGTAAACCCTCCTCCACCCGAGACGGCCAATCCGTGAGTGTCAAGTGAACAAGCATGACGCTTTTGAGAAGTAATTTTCATTTAATAAAAGTGTTGCAGTGAAGCACGTGATGCTCTTATTCCACTTGGCAAATGAAACGTGCTGACGCAGTAATGCGCTTGTCGCGTGTGTTCACTTGACACTTGGTAATTGGCTATGTCCGGTCGAGGAGTCTATGCCACGATTTTTATTCACGATCTAACCCAAAAAACCCAATTGTCAAACGTAATCAAAGTTTTCATGAATGCATTTTAGTGGATGCTTTTTTTTGTATGCACTGTACGCAGTCCATGTCAAGTGTTATGTGAATATTACATCCATGTGTACAGGAAATGACTTTATTTTTATTTTGCAGATGAATAAAATTTGCAAAGATGTGTGCAGGGGCATTTTCTGTTGAGCGTGAGAACTGGTGTTGACCATATTCTTGGTTCTTTCGGTAAAGTCACGTAGAAGTGATTTAATAAAATCCCAATCGGTAGCTGGGCATGGTTCACTGAACCCTTTTTGAAGTCGAAATGTGTTCCCCAGCCCTCTTTATTTTGTAGCCAAAGTGCTGGGCATTTAAGAGGTTTCACGATAGAATATGTACATCTTAATCCGTAAAAAATATCTTTACAAATGGACACGAGCATAAACTTAAGAAAATGTAAAAGTGGATTTTTGAATCCTAATGATATTTGAATGCCAAACTTCTGAATATATGTCGTGAAGCTTTTCAGTTGACAAAATCGTCCTGTCTGGGTCATATCAGGGCATCGCTCTCTGCCTTGTGTTGGCGAACTGGACCCGGTAGATCTGTCGCCGAGATACACGTGTGTCCTTAATTCAGCAAGGTGAGAAACCCATTGAGCTGACTTCCAAGATATGTTAATAACCTCTCCTTGTCCACAGGAGTTGGGTTCAATCCCGACCCTGACAGCTGTATATTAGGAGTTGTGTCTCCCGTGGTCGCGCGGATTTTCCTCGGTTTTCCTTCCACATTTATAAACATGAGTTTATAGTATTCGGCTGCTATAAATTTCCACATGGCAAGCCACTGCATTGAGATGTATCATTTGTGGCCAGGTCACTTGTGAAAAAGCGATATAGATCAGTGGGCTTTGCCAGGTAAAATAAAAACGTTTCTAGACATTGGTGTAGTTGACAATTTCAAATTGAATCCAATGATAGAATGAACGTATTGGACATAATTGTCCTCATGGGAGTGTCGACAATATTTTAAATATTTTAGCATTTCCTGCCCCAGGTTTACCCTCGTGATATGTGCGTCACATTCATGAGACAAGTACCCATTTGACAGCTTTGCAACCGTGTATGGAGAACGGCCAGTGGAAGCGGATATCGTAGAACTACCTCTGAAATCCATTTTGAGTAGCCTCTACACAATAGGGGGCAGCACTTAATGGTCAAAATTTTTTATCATGAATACAAGAACACGATTGTTGTTTGTACTCCTAACGTGTTTCTTTTTGTATGTTAACGTTTATTACTTGCCCCTACTGGACATTGACAAACGGAGTGGTGGGAGCTAATGAGCAAGGTGGGAGGAGAGCCTCGTTTGCCTGCCTTGACCAACGTTTCAGTCTGAAGTTGGCACGAACAGGATGTAATGAAGGCCTGCTGTGTTAGTGTGATAAGTTCAATTCCAAAACAACATGACGCAGCATTCAAACTTCCTGAACCCCCCTCCCCATATTGTCAACAACTTGAGATGTTGCATATAGATTTATTCTAGATTTGAATGTTTCGTGACTGCAAGGATCCATACTCTGGTTCTTTCGGTAAAGTCACGTAGATGGAAAAAAAATGAAAATAACTAAATTAAATCACGACGTTTTGGAGGCAACACAAGCATCCGTCATCAGGTGGAACAGCCACATCAAAATTACTGTAGTGAATCAATGATGACGGAAGCTTGTGTTGCCTCCGAAACGTGATTTTATTTAGTTATTTTATTTTAATTTTCATCTACATTACTTTACTCGAAAGAACCAAAGAGCATAGATTTATTTAATTCATAACCAAAACTCCCACACTCAACCAGATCTCTGACGCTTAGAGTTGAGCTTGGATAGTACTTGCATGAGTGACCACCACTATACAAGTGTGTGGGCGTTGTGGGAAGCAGAGGGCACTGCAGCAACATCCACTCTATCTACTAGCAAACGCAGTGATCAGCATGGTGAAGTAGGGTCAGATAACCCTCATTACCCGCGAGGCATGGGGGTGGGGGCGTCTGCAGTGATAGAGTCGTTATAAACATTAAGTCCGGCCAATGTTTTTCGGGGTATGATTCGTATTTATGAGCATCTCCAGATTCCAAGTTTCTCAATGCTGCTCTCTTGTGGTTCGAATCTGCATGTGCAATAGCGGGGTCGTTCATTGTACGATTACAGTGCAGTATTACAAGGCCGGAATTATCATACATCATACATATTGGGGGGGGGGGGGGGGGCATCCCCAATATTCAATATGCTCAAAATGTCGCCAATATATTGCTATAAAATAGATTTCTGATTATATGATTGTGGTTTTGGTTGTACTTTATTAATCCCTAATCTCTGCCATTACATACAATGAAACAAGAATAGGTAAAAAATAAAAAAAACAGCAATGTAATACAATACACTATTAGAAATTATTGTTAAAAATAAATAAAAATTCATTCCCATGTGTTAGTGAATTTTTAAATATTTAGGCAGGAAATGGCAGGAAATTCGTTTTCAAATTTAGATTTCTTTCTGGGGGGGACCCACAGACCCCCTGGAAGATTTGCCCCCCCCCCCCCCCCCCAATGTTGACTCCATGGCTACAGCCTTCCAGTATTATACACACGATTTGGTGATTTTGCTGCATTGGCAGTGACGGATTAAGCTGGTGCGGGGCCTGTAGCATATGTTATAAAGGGGCCCTGATTAAAATCACGTAAATATTAAAACACAACTTTTTAACTTGTAAAGTAATTGTTTAACACGTAGGCTTTCGCAGCCAATATATACATAAAAACGTCTATATATTATATAAATAAGCGCCCAACTTTATCTGTGATGAACGCTGCACTTTCTGTCGATTTCATGCAGGGGGTGCTGCAAGCCTATGCGCCCCGTGCATGAACGACGGAGGCGCAGGGACAGACGTTCGATTACGTTGCCATCGATCTGCAGACGGCGGTCTTCTCGCACGGCCAGCAGCTCCGTGTCGCCTCATCTCGATCCCGCAATCCCAAACAGGTGAAAGTCCGCATCGAACCGAACCCCCAGCAAGGCCCATCTACTTAATTACGAGATAAAATTCACACGAAATGTCCTTTTCAATGAAGTCTTTCAGATGTAAAATGATATAAGCTTTTGAATGAAGAAATATAATTATGTAATTCAATACAATATAATTCAAAGATGTTTCATTTTAAAACTTCATAACGTAGCATCCGGTGCTTGCGTGGTTAGATCGCGTAAATATATAAATGTGTTGTTAAAACCCGCCACCACCCGACACAGCCAACTAGGCAGGGTTGTCACGTAAACAGAACGTGGCCAATTCGTCACTAGTACAGCAACACCGGTGTGTTGGAGAGCCAAGCCACAACATTTACAATCTGAGTACGACGTTTCGCCAGTAATTACAACTAGCTTCATCAGGTGACAGCCATTTGCTATAGAGCGACACATCGCTAACCTTAAACACCCAGTCGTTCATAAAAGCTGAAGGCGGTATAGTACTATAGTAATAGAGCAAGTGCAGAATCACCGAACCGGAATTGATAGCTAGAAAGCATTTAGCGCGGGGCCTTTGAAAGTACGGGCCCTGTAGCATCTGTAGCTACTTTTGCTACGAGGATAATCCGGCACTGTGCATTGGCAGTAGTGCACAAAACACAACCACAACACAAACTCAACACAGTTGTGTATGACACTGGCCTCAAAAGGAAACATAAGAGGCGACGTTTCGGGCAATGGCCCTCCTTCATAGCAAATCAAATTGTAGTATTGTTAGAGCGTGTTTACCCAGGACAGCCTCGCTGAGCCTCGTTACTTGAAAGACATTTCACTAAAATAGAATGTTTACTTGATAAATTCCAAGTGTGACCGCAATGTCCGTGTCGGGCTTGTATTGATGATCTATTGCAATAAAATATTAAAACACATCTTGACTGCTATAATTGTTGTTGCAGTTACTGTGTGAACGGGCAGATGGGTCAATTGCAGAAATACTTGATCACAGTGAATGTAAAGGTGCAGCACTGCAATGTTTTCCTGCCGGTCGAAGAGAGGCCATCTGATCGGTGGCTCTTAACTTCCCACTCAAGTCCAGATGCCACCTTCTGCGTTTGTGCTGTCATCCCAGCATCTCACCCACATCCAGAAGAACACCGGTGGACAGAGTGGTAACAACGTGGACGTCCAGAATAGGCATTCTCATTCGGGTCCCTATAAAATATTGCAACCCTCCTGGCTTAGGGGTCGTCCATAAATGACGTCACGCACCTGGGGGGGGGGGGGGGTGTCAGACATTTGTGACGATGTGTGACGAGGGGGGGGGGGGTTTGAGAAATGTGACGTCACATCAAAATGCGGAAACTTTAAATAAATATAGACAACACGTTCTACTTAATTAAAAATACTTTTTGATAAACGTTTTCTCCTACAACATCAGAGTGCAGCGCCACATTAAATACGCACTACAATGACAATAGTTTAAAGCGATTTGAAGCATGTTTTTTTTTTTGGGGGGGGGGGGGAAGAGCTTTGTGACGTCATATTTGAGGGGGGGGGGTCTGACTTTTTGTGTCGCTGCGTGACGAGGGGGGGGGTCAAAAATCGTCCAAAATCGCGTGACGTCATTTATGGACGGCCCCTTAACCCCCACGGGGGGTCGGAAACCTGCAGCTCCAGCGTCGCACGCGGCTCTTTAAGCGTCGCTTCGTGACGTTTACTTACCAACGACCACCGCCTCGCGTTCGCCACGCTCCATTACGGGCTCTTGAAATATCGAGGGAGTTTTTGTTGATAATTGTTTTTTTACCCTTTATCTGGCAACAAAACTGACATCTTTTTTTTTTACAAGGAGTCATGTTTGCATTGACCACAATACCTGCAGTTGGAATGCAAACAAAAAACATAACTCTGATAATGTATGCACTGTTTGCATTCCGACTGCAGGTATTGTGGTCAATGCAAACATTACTCCTTGTAAAAAGGTGTCAGTTTTGTTGCCAGATTAAAGGGTAAAAAAACAATGATCATATTTTGTTACTGGCAAATGAGGTACCAATGGTGGGGTTTTTATTGTTATCGAATTCTAAAATAATGGCTCTTCTTGTTATGTTGGTCGCCGAAATCCTGGCTTAAGACATTCCTCGAAGACACTGGTGG